ATCACCATCACCACCATCTCTATCACCATCACCATCATCTCTATCACCACCACCACCATCATCACCATCACCATCACCATCCCCATCTCTATCACCATCACCACCATCTGTATCACCACCACCACCCCCATCACCTCCACCACACCTCAAGCACCAACATTATCACAATCTTCATAATAAACGCATAATAATCATGCATTATTCATCATTTTTACTGAATTACCTTGTAGATTTGCCAGTACTGTGGTACCTTGAGCTGTTGTGCAGAACAGTCGAGTCTCCCTACATAGTTCTTTGTTGTTTCCTGGACTTCCAAATTGGTCCACGCCACAGAGCAGCGCTCGCACGTATTGTCACAGAAGCGTTTTGGCTTTATTCTGGGTATTATTGATATACAAAACATTAATGAGACAGTAAAGCATCCGGTATAAAACATCATTGTCGTACTCAGGGTTTTTAGAAAGGTTACTTGCATGTGACGTCAAAGCACCTCAAATTGAAGAACAAAACAAAATAATTTCGATCTCCTGAGAATTGGAAACCCATTGATATGTCTTCCAAATTGAGCTGCATTCCGACGTGCTGCAAGGAGTCTATTTAGGGTTTCAATTTACAAAAGATGACAAATAAACTAAACTGCCTCCTATGACATCACACTTATTAACATATTGAAAGTATGGACTTTATATCTCCAAGATGCATCATTACTCAATTCATATAAAAATATTTTACCATTCAAATATACACTTCATGTACAATCAATAATGAAAATATCAAGTTAGATGCTGGTGCACTTAAAAGACTAATTGAATTAAGATCTTTTCCTTACGCGTAAGCCTGTAGTTGAATGTTGTACTTGAGTTCCCAAAGCACTGGATCATTGGGCTCGACGGTAACTATGGGAGGATCTCCGCCATCGAAAGACAACAGGGAGTCGCACCAATCCCCATTTGGACAATCAAACTTGTTCATAATGCTGAAAAGATCTTGTCCGTGGTAGACGATTCTCCACTTGCAATCAGACAAGCCTCCCCTTGCGAAATAAGGATGTTTCATCCCTGGTAACTTAAACCATTTCCAAGGGACAGGATGAGGTGCGATCATTGCAATGCACCTCAATCCAGGATAACTATCATCGTATGGCATCGGTGAATCAAGCTGGATGGCCATGTAGGCATTTGATACTTTGTAAACCTGGCCATCGTAGTATGCCATGAATTTACTTCCAATTGTATGATTGCGGATAACGTTAAAAAAAGGCAGAGACATTTTCGTCTTCAAAAAGTCAAGTGTCGATAGAATAAACGCAATTGCACTGCTCTGTTCAGGAACCAAGGAAAGCGTATGGATGAGAAGCATCTGCCTAACGGTTTCGAGTTTGGTATATAACTCAAAGTACGCCATAAACTTCTTTGCGTCTGACGGCTTATTACCATCAATCAAATGTATCATCTTATTTCGCAGTTTATCGATAACTGGAAATCCATGCACGAATATATTCCTAATAGACGTATGTGTGCTGTTGGCATCATGTACACTAATTTTGTCATTATCTTTCCCTGCCCTGTTGAGAATTGTTTTAAAATGTAAATACGTTTCGCCGCTTTCCTTAATGTTGCTCATCTGGATGTCGTCTTCCCTGTACTTCATCGTTACTTTTTTAATCTCTGTAGTTACAATATTTTTTATAGAAAAAGGAGAACGAGTCTCGCCCAATAGATTCATAAAACTCGAAATGAACATAGCTAGTAAGCTAACGATGTGGCCATCCGATGATGTCAATTGTTTTAACGTGTCCAACAGATTTAGAACAGCAAGTATGGCAGGCGTGGTACCTTGGTACGCGTCACTTATAAAGTCGATGTTTTCGGCCACCGCTTTCAGTGCTACAGTTCTTTCAGTGCGTTCCCTTAGGGGTTGATTCTCCCAGTCTTTGGTCAGCTTTAAATACATCTTTTTCGCTCGTCTTGCTGCATCACCATAGAATCTTTGGACAGAACTCTCCAGTTGGGTCATGAGGGGCTTGGCAGCGTCATCTTGATTAAAAATATTTGAATATTTAACAAGTATTTGAGTCCAAACACTTTATTCTGTATAACAGTTATAGTGCATTTTTCATTTGGTACTGATTTACATACAAATAAATGAGCATGCGCAGATGCAGCTTGGCGATCTTTCATGTGTCTGCTGCGATGAATGAGCCAGAAAAGGTATCACGTGAATAACTTTAAGCGCATGACACTTGGTAGATAGAAAGATGACTTACAAGAATATGGTGTAGTTCTTTTTTCTCCTGAGCTTTCTGGATTTAAATCTTTATTTAATCGAACGTCCTCTGTATCATCTTGCTCTCTCGATCCTACGATACATGAATACAGTGAAGGAAAAGGAAACACTATATACAATTGAATCAAGAGCAATGCTTAACGTTCACACGTAAGGCTGATTTACTAATAAGGACAGCACGCAAGTAAAATAAAAATTTTATGTTGTATGTAAACGATTTTGAGGAAACGTTGGAATGTGAAGATCGATACCTTTGTTATAGACGACGAATCCTGCAAACACCAAAACAAGCAAAACCGTCTTCATTTTGAACGAACGACACACTGCTTGAAGAAAAGAAAAAAACCATTTCTTTCTAATGTAGTCATTATTTCTCTTCCAATACCAGAGTTTTTCATGTTGGCACTTTTTTTAAACCAATAAATGAATTTACCTAATTAAAAGTAAGATTTGTTTTCAATTTTTCTTTTCTATTCGTGCATATTTCAAGTTGAGATGCGCAAGTTTTAAGTCAAATATCTCGTTAAAAAAACGCAGAAAAGATCGGAAAAAATAGGGACTGTTTTAAAGGGAAGTTAAAAGAAGTGGTTTCAGCCTCCTCAAAGATTTTTTGTTAGTACCCCACGGGCGCCTAAGTTTTAGTATTACCCATGCGTACATTGTTACCACTATACCTACACACGTTGAATGTTCCTCCACGGTTGGTGTCTCGAGACGATTGAAAGGCTTGCGTGAGCCCTTACCGCATACTGTGTTTGTATGTAAGGGTATTAATAATAGACTAAATGAATATTACTAGTACCAGTGATATGGTCTGCCACACAGCCAATAGTATCTATTGTACATCACGTGATCATGGTTCTAATATTGTCATTGTGGCAGACCGTATCACTGGTACTACTAAGATAGATGAACGAATAACTGTACCATATGTAATATTAATGATATTAATAGAACCATGATCACGTGATGTACAATAGATACTATTGGCTGTGTGGCAGACCGTATCACTGGTACTAGTAAGATAGATGAACGAATAACTGTACCATATGTAATATTAATTATATTAATAGAACCATGATCACGTGATGTACAATATAGATACTATTGGCTGTGTGGCAGACCGTATCACTGGTACTAGTAAGATAGAAGAACGAATAACTGTACCATATGTAATATTAATTATATTAATAGAACCATGATCACGTGATGTACAATATAGATACTATTGGCTGTGTGGTAGACCGTATCACTGGTACTAGTAAGATAGAAGAACGAATAACTGTACCATATGCAATATTAATAGAACCATGATCACGTGATGTACAATAGATACTATTGGCTGTGTGGCTGACCGTATCACTGGTACTAGTAAGATAGAAGAACGAATA